AAAGGTGATTCTAGCATCTCCAGTGTATAACTGGGCAATGATAACCTCTGGTGGCAGCAGACAGTTCAGGATACAGAGCTCATTGGATATGTAGATGAGATAAGATGACTTTTCAGAGCCAGAGGGATTAGCAGGTAGAAAGGACCCACAGGGGTGAGGCTCGGGAGGAAGGACAAGCAGAAGGACTGGAGAGGAACCCACCCTCTCTGAGAAGGGTGGCTGGAGTCCCAAAGCATATTAGGGTGAATAGAGATGGCACAGGGCTCAAGTCCAACTCTAGCAGGATTCTCATTGTCTAATCTGGAGCTTCCAAAACAGTTGCAGTGATATCTAACCTGTCCTAATTTCCTCCAGCCTGCTGGGTCGACTCCTTTATTGCTTCTGAGGGCTCCTCCCTACCTCAGCCCTTGAAGAGCTGGCCTTTCTCTTCTTCAAAAAAGCTTTCAAATATTTTTTCCCAGCTGCATTGTGGGCAGCTTCCCCCACCCCCTCCAGCAGAGAAATTCAGAGTACAGAGTGGTGGGAAGTCAGTAGATGACACTTTTCCTTAACCTTAACACAAAGACCTTTGTGCAGCTGTCTTATGAGCTTGTATGCATCATATTCACTTCCCAAAATAACCCTGTGTGTGTAAAAACTCAAGCTGTGGTTCTAGCTGGTTTTGCTCAGTGGGTAGAGCGTCCGCCTGTGAACTGAAAGGTCCCAGGTTCGATTCAGGTCAAGGGCACATGCCGGGTTATGGGCTCAATCTCCAGTGGGAGACTTGCAGGAAGCAGCTGATCCATAATTCTCTCATCATGGATGTTCTCTCTCTCTCTCCCTTTTCCTTCCTTTCTGAAATCAATTTAAAAACAAAACTCACCTGGCCAGCTTGGCTTAGTGATTGAGCATCAACCTATGAACCAGGAGGTCATAGCTCTATTCCCAGTTGGGGTACATGCCTGGGTTTTGGACTCGATCCCCAGTGTGGGGCATGCAGGAAGCAGCCAATCAATGATTGTCTCTCATCATTGATGTTTATATCTCTCTCCCTCTCCCTTTATCTCTCTAAATATATATATATATATTCAAGCTCTGTAATATGATTTGTGCTCTTGGCTGTGTTGTATATCAATAAAAGGTAAAACAACAACAACTGAGTCACATATGTTATCACCTGTTGGGATTTCCCCAAACCTGAAAGGGATGCATTAAATTGATTATTTGCTGCCAGACAGCTCAGGGCATCTTAATCTACATGTTATTGCCTCCTACTGGCCAAACACCAGAACAGCCATAGGCTATTCCCCAATCTGACAATGCTTCCACCTTGCCCTAGGACAATTTGTGTTAATAAAAAGCAATGGATCCGGAGACAAGGAGAACTTAGCTCCTCCTGCTAGGCACCTCTGACCCCCAATGCCTTTCAAAATTATCTTTCATCTCTGGACTCTTAATCTATGTACAGCCTTTCTCAAGATTGCTGAACCTTTCTTAATGCTGAAACAAGAGCACCTTCAAATATAAGATTTAGTTGGAACCCATATGACAGCAGTCACTGGGAAATAGGTTATTAATATGCAAAATGCCCTTCTGAGTGTTTCACTTGCTATCTTGATCTAGCAAGCTGTATCCATTGTCTGGACATTGTGGTCTGGGGTCTGCACATATTGGTGGGAGTTGTATGACATGGGCAGGGCACTGAACTCTCATCTCTTCTCCATATGAAGCTCCAGCCTCTTAGACCAAGACCCACCCAAGATGGATGCTTAATAAGGGAAGGCTAGAAAACCAGATGACCGGAAAAATGGGGACCAGAGGACCTTTGCCTTAGTGAGGCTAGGATCTGAGCATGAAAGCAGAGGTCTCCTGGGGAAGATCAGGAAAGTCTGGGAGTCATAGCAGGGATTTCTGAATCCTAGGGATTCCTCCTAGTCTAGGCTGGCTTCCTGGAAAGCAGAGCACACTCAGAGGTGAATGGTGATGGGAGAAGGCTGCCTGTGGCCTATCACAGCGATCAGAATGCCAAGCTGGCATGATGAACAGGGAAATGGCACTGATCTCTCACCCAATAGATCCTGGAGGGATATTAATGGAAGGGCACACCTGTCATTGTCCAGTGTTGCCATTTCCATCTCTTGCCCCCAAAACCTTTTCACAACACTGAGCAGTAGCAACACATTCTACTTGCCATAATCTATCCCCAATACTCACATATTCATGCCAAGTCTCTCTCCCAGAGGCAGAAACCTAATCTTGATCTTCTTGTACATTTCTGGTTCGTAATGTGATCTTTCCCCCAACCCAGATGTTTCCACATGGAAGATAATGTCCCCACCCAACTCTTTCTCTAAGATCAGACCTGGCACCTTTCCTGAGAACCTTGCCCTACTGGCTTCTCAGGTACTGAAAGCACTTTGTCCTTTTTATCGTATCTCTGGTTCTTGGGCAAACCACATTTCTTAACTAGGCTTCTTGGCTGCTCCGGTTCTTCTCCAGCCTCAGGCCAATCTGCTCCCCTGATCTGATTTCATTGGTCTTGGATTTCAGACAAGGTTCTTTTTTTATTTTATTTTTTTATTTTTTACATTTTTTTTAAAATATATTTTATTTGATTTTGTACAGAGAGGAAGGGAGAGAGATAGAGAGTTAGAAACATCGATGAGAGAGAGTCATCGACCAGCTGCCTCTTGCACACCCCCTACTGGGGATATGCCCGCAACCAAGGTACATGCCCTTGACCGGAATCGAACCCGGGTCCTCCAGTCCCCAAGCCGACGCTCTATCCATTGAGCCAAACCGGTTTCGGCTATTTTTTACATTTTTTTTAAAATATTTTTTTTATTGATTTTTCACAGAGAGGAAGAGAGAAGGATAGAGAGTTAGAAACATCGATGAGAGAGAATCACCGATCAGCCACCTCCTGCACACCCCCCACTGGGGATGTGCCCGCAACCAAGGTACATGCCCTTGCCCGGAACCGAACCCGGGACCCTTCAGTCCCCGGCCGACGCTCTATCCACTGAGCCAAACCGGTCCCGGCAATGATTACATTTGTTATGCAGACAAGGTTCTTATGGAGAATGAACTCCCCTTTTCCCTGCCCCAAACCTACACAAAGGTTCCATTCCTCACCTACCACCCAGCCCAAGCCCACCACTCTAGAAAGAGACACCCACTGCTCACATGGAAAGCAGAACAGAGGTCTTCTTGGTGGAAGGACCAGAGTGACTTAATCCTCACACTCCAGCTCTGGGTGGCCAGTTGGTGCTTATGCCCTCATGGGAAGAACCAGAGAAAAGCACACATGATACTGACACTGAAGTTTGGGCTGAGACACGAAGATATGATACAATAAATAGGTCCTCCATTCCAAAAGGATCAGATCAGACTGCATGCCACATTTTTTCTAGCAAATGGTTGAGAAGTAACTCTTGAGCCCCTTTCCTGGGACAAGAATCTATTTGGTGCCCTGGCTGGTTTGGCTCAGTGGAAAGAGCATCAGCCTGCAGACTGAAGGGTCCTGGGTTCAATTCCAGTCAAGGGCTCAATCCCCAGTGGAGGCAGCCAATCAATGATTCTCTCTCATCATTGATGTCTCTCTCTTCTCTCTCTCTCTTCCTTCCTCTCCCTCTCTGGAATCAATTATATATAATTGATACAGACACAAGATATATATATATATATATATATATATATATATATATATATATATATATATAATCTGTTGGAGATGGAGTTTTGGGGAACTTTTATTTTATTTTTAAATCTTTATGATATTTTTCTTTTTTTGTTTTTATTGTTGATGTTATTCAGATGTTCCCACTTCCCCCTCTTTACCCTCTCCACTCAGCCCACCTTCCCTCTGGCCATCAACACACTATTATCTATGTCTATGAGTTGTGTATATATGTTCTCTGGCTAATCCCTTCACCTACTTTCATCCAGTCTGCCTCCCCCCCCACAGAGGACTTTTATTATTTATTTATTTTTAAAATTGGGGGGGGGGGTGCAGGAGGCAGCTGATCAATGCTTCCCTCTCATCAATGTTTCTAACTCTCTCTTCTTCTCTGTAAAAAATCAATAAAATATATTTTAAAAACAAACAAATCCTTGCTTCATCTGATATCCCAAGGAAACTTTAAGGATGAAGAAGTACAGAGAAGCAAGCAATGTACTTAACTATCTTTCTACTACTGGGGATCATTTCACTCTTTATACTGTCAGGTCCCCTTGATCAAGCTCAGCTTTTACTCATAGTATTCCACTATCCACGCTATCTTCTCCACTCACCTAAATCCTGCTTACCCTTCAAAGCCTAACCCTCCTGCAGCCACCCTCCCAAACAGAGGGAGAAGAGATCCAGAAAAAGGAAGAGACTTATGCAAGGTCATGCAACAGAATTAACTCTCACTGGAAGGAGAATTTAGGGTCCTGATTCCAATCTAAGGCAGCAATTCTGTAGCACATTAGAATGGGGGCTGATTATGCCTGGGCATGCTAACTCCCAGAGCAAGAACATCAGGTCTGCAGGCATCTGATTCTATAAAGTAGTGATGGGAGAGAACTAGCTTTTGCTTTTTAATTTTTATTTATTTTATAATGTTTTTATTGATTTCAGAGGGGAAGGGAGAGGAAGAAAAACATCAATGGAAGAGAATCATTGATCAGGTGCCTCCTACATGTCTGCAACCGGGGCATATGCCTTCACTAGGAATGGAACTGTAACCTTCTGGTTCATAGGTTGACCACGGAGCACACCGGCTGGGTGAGAACTAGCTTTTGTTGGAGGACTAGACCCAGCAGTAGGGGTGTGTGTGTGTGTGTGTGTGTGTGGAGGGGGAGGAGTGTGTGTTTCAGTGCATTGGGATTGGAAGTTCAGGAGCTGGGGGGCAAGGCAAGGCCAGGCCTACATGATGATGAGGTGAGTAGAAGCAGGGATACCATGGCTTTCCTTGTGCTCCTCAAACAGCTGCTCCAGACCCTTCATGTAGAGCCTGTGGTAATGGTCAACTTCCTCGTCAGTGGGGAGGAGGCTCTGGGGCACCAGGATGGGGCGGCCCACTGCAGAGAGAGGGGAGACAGATGAGGTGAGAAGTGCCCACACAGCTGATGATGGCTTTCTTCCCTGGAGAGGAGGACTCACCCACAGTAGTGATGGGCGCGGGGAAGGGCAGCAGGCCCCAGGAGTTGGCTGAGAAGAAACCTCGGCCCCAGAAGACACAGGGAGCAAAGCCCAGGTACTTCTTGATGAAGGACTGGCACAAATACTGCCAAGAGTCTGTGGCAAAAACCTTAATTTTGTAGACATCATTCTCCCCAAAGGAGTACACAGGCACCAGGGAGGCCCTGGAAAGGAAGGGCAATAGAGAAGAGGGGTGGTCAGGCCATCAGCTCTTAGAATACCCCAAGGATAGGAGCCCCAGAGAACAGCATAACCCTCCCCACACCTCATAATTCCACTTCCCAAGCCCTTTAAAGCAAATGACAATGGCTACAGTGAAAAATCTGGAAGAAGGGACTCACATTTCCTGAGAAAAGATTGTGTACTGAACCTTCATATATACATTTCCTCATCTAGTCTTTACAACCAAACCATTGCAGGGCAGGTATTAACTCTCTCAAGGGTAAAGAAACATGCCCAAGGTCTTGCCTTTGAGATAGTGTCAGAGAAGGCTTTGTGCCCTGCTCTATGTACTATGACCCTGGCTCTCTTGGAGTGGGAGGAAGCTTGCAAAGTGGACGTAGTGCTTGGCACAGAGTAAACACTCAAACACGGACATGAGCACCTTCCGGGCATAGGGCCCAATGTGAATGCAGAACAACCTATAGGGTCCTGGGTGTGTAAGGATGGAGAGTGTGCACCCAAAGGTGCTCTGTGAAGTTCTGACCATTAAAAGCAGCCTTGGACTGGGCACCAGCACCCCTCTCACCCATGCCTCAGCGCCAGGCGTACGAAGCCTTTGCGGTTCTGGAGAAAGACGCGATGCTCCCCCGAAAGTGAATACATGGATTCTTGGGCACCCCCAATAATGATGACCACGGCCTGCCCACGCCGGGGCTGTGACAGAATAAAGTCCAGGCTCTGGCGGCTCACAGAGCACATTCCTGCAGGCATGGAAAGTGGGAGCAGTCACCACCCCCTCCTTGTCTCCTCTGCCCCTCAGCCTACCCATTCCTCCCAGCCCCTCTACCCACCATGCCCATGTCACTGTGCCCTACAGTGTCTGTTCCAGCAAGGACACCATAGGACACTTGCTCCAAAGCTATTCACTGATGTCCACTGTGACTCTGGCCAGTGTTCACACCAGGTCCCTGAGCTAGGTGGGTGGAGGTCGACCCGGCCAGAGAGCACCTCCTCCCGCTCACATGGAGGCTCACCCAAGGACATGAGGTAGTCTCGATAGATTGGAAGGTGGAAGAGTCCGTCCAGCGCGACTACTGAGGACCGAAGCCCGGGGAACTTCTCAGAGAAGCCCGTGCTCTCGGTGGAGAAATTACAGGAGGTTCCGATGCACATGATCCCATGGGGATGAGAGCCAAACACATAGTTCCGGTCAGAGGGCAGCTCTACTGTTTTCACCAGCTTCGGGGTGTTGGGCAGGACGAGGGGAGGAAGGCATAGCAGTCAGGACACCAGGTAAAAAGTGTCACCTCCCCTCACCCTAACTGATTTCAGAGATCAAGGATGGGTCAAGGGCACAGAGGGGCTACTCTTGAACATCACTCCACCCCCTGCCCCATTGCCTTAGCTTAAGCAGCTGGGGCTCAGGCTTCTGCACTCGAGGGCTGGATGGGTGGGGGAGGCAGGGCAAAGGAAGGAGGCAGAGAGTCTTTCTGGAGGGTAACCAGTCACCTTGACAGGATAATAATCCCTTAGGTATTTCCAAATGGTCCAGTTCCTTATCCACTTAGACCGCCTTCCACCTTAGGGTAGAGAGATATGGGTGGAGGGAGCCCTGGAAGCACCCAGCTGCCATCTCTCCATACTTGGTCCCCTTCCAGCACTCACCCCGGTTGGGTGTGTCCCAGTCTAGGAAGAGCCATGCCAAGTAGAGAACAGAGAATGACCAGAGGGATGTGAACAGGAGGGAGAAGACAAGAAGGAATGAAGAAAGACCTGTGTGAAAGATGAGAAAGTAAAAATGAATTAGCTTTTGAAACTCAGTCACGTCACCCAGCTGTTCCTCTCCTCCACTCTCAGGGATTATACCCTCCCCCTGTCTCCCAGCCACACATTGGCCCTTTCCCCCTCTCTTTGCTCCTTGGGCACTCAGATAAGTGGCACTCTAGCCACTCCCCCAGACCCTTTTCCCCCTGCGGACCCCAAGCACCCACCCATGCCTCTTCTCACCCATGAAAAGGAAAGTGAGCACGAATTGGTAGGCACCCACTGCTTCCAGCCACTGCTTCTTCAGGGTCTTCATGGTGCGGGCGAGGGCGGCAGGAAGGTGGAGACTCCTATCCCAGGAGCTGCCCTGGGCCAGCAGGGCTCCAGGACCCCAGGAGAGAAGGTGTCTGGGAAGGCTTTCTTGTCCGAGGGGCGGAGCCTTTTGGACCTCCGGGATTGCGTTTGGGGTGGTGAGGTGGTGGTGGTGGTGGTGGTGGTGGTGGTGGTGGTGGTGGTGTGTGTGTGTGTGTGTGTGTGTGTGTGTGTGTGTGTGTGTGGAGGGGGTTGTGGACGGGAGATGGCTGGATTCGGATGTGTCCAGGCTGTTCTCAGATTGATCTTTGAGCTTCCTGAGTCAGTCCGTCTGGGCTGGCTGCAGGGCGGGTCTGGGAGGAGCGAGGGGCTGTGGGAGGAGGGTGTGGCAACTACCGTGCGAGGAGACTGAGCAGACGCTGGAGAGCCAGAGGGCCGGGCCCCAGCAACTGGGCCGCCCAGAAGCCCACCTGAGACTGTCTGATCCGGAGTGGAGCTGAGTTGGGAGGAGGCGAGGGTGGGGCAGGGCTGAGGCGAGCGCGCAGACCTCCCCTCTGGGCAAAAACACACCAACACCGCGAGTCTGTTCCCGCCTTTAATCCCATCCACAGTCCTAGGGGGCTGGGGGGAGGGGGAGGGGACGGGAGGCGCCGGCGCGCCTAGGTGAGGATCAGGTGCTGGTCGGCCGGGACCCCGTAGCGCGCCTTGTGCTCCTCGAACAGCTGCGTGAGCCGCTCCACGTAGAGCGCGTGCAGCGCGTCCACCTGCGCCCGGCCGGGCCGGGGGCTCCGCCGCACCGGGATCGGGGCCCCCACTGTGAGCGGAGTGCGGGGGGGGGGGGAGAGAGAGAGAGAGAGAGAGAGAGAGAGAGAGAGAGAGAGAGAGAGAGAGAGGGAGAGAGAGAGAGAGAGATCGTTGGGATTGTAACAGGGGTCATGGCACTAACAGGTGTCAGAGGCCAGCTTGAGGGTGAGGTCGGAGCGGCGAGTCAGGATCTCAGACCCCCCAACCAGGGACCGAACCGTCTGGCCCGGGGGGGGGGGGGGGGACGCGCGGGGTGGGGACTACGCTCGGGGTGGGCGGCCGGGCTCACCTACGGTGCAGATGGGACTGCGGAAGGGCAGGGGGCCCAGGCGGCCGTGGAACAGCGGCAGGGACAACCTCAGGAGAGGCTGCAGCGCCTCCTGAGCCATCCGCAACCACGAACCCGGGGGGTTCGGGACCTGCTGGAAGACGTCGTTCTCCCCAAAAGAGAAGACGGGAACTAGAGAGGCCCTGGGGGAGAGAGGGTGCCTGGGTCCCGTCGGGCGGGCGCAGCGCTCCTCCCCCCGCGCGGGGCAGCGGCTCGCTCCTGCCCCGGCCCGGCCTCCGCACCCACCCGTGCTCCAGCGCCAGCTTGACGAATCCCTTCTGATTCCGGATCCGCAAGCTCAGCGCTCCGGGCTTTGCCTCCAGCGCCTCCAGGGGCCCTCCCACGGCCAGGACGGCCACCTGGCCGCCGCCAGGCCGGGACAGCAGATAGGCGATGCTGGCCTTGGCTGAGGACACCAAACCTGGGGGGAAGGCAGAGGCTGGGAGAGGAGTGGCCCCGGCGCCTGGGGCCTCTAGAAGAGACCGGAGGGCCCCGGGGAAGGCAGAGCTGGGACCGGGAGCCCCCAGGCTGGAGGGCAGGTCAGAGGTGACAGCAGGTCGGACTCCCCACTCCTCACCACTAAGCATGATGCAGTCCCGGAAGACAGGAAGGTGGAACCAAAAGGGAAGCATGAGCAAGTGTGGGCGGAGGCCAGGGAAGAGGCGGGAGAAGCCGGTGGCCTCTGTGCAAAAGTTGCTGAAGGCCCCGATGACCAGGACGCCGTGAGGGTGGAAGCCGAAGAGGTAGTTGTGGGAGGGATCCAGCTCTGCGGTTTTAACCAGCTGGGGGGCAGAGGAGACACACCCCGCCCCTTTGGTGAGGCTGGATGTGTGGGGGAGATGATTGGAAGGGTCTGTTTTGTATCTGTCCCCACCCCAGCAGAGGGTTCTTGGGGGGCCTCACCGAGATGGGGAAGTAGTCCCGGAAGTGTCTCCAGATGGCCCAATTGCGGACCCAGGCAGATCTGCGGCCTCCTGTCTGTGGGGTGTTCCTGTCTCCATAGAGCCAGACCAGGTAGAGGACCCCTAGTATCCAGGCCCGGCTTAGGAGTACAAGGATCAGGAGTACAAGGCACACCTGGGCTGGAGGATGGGTTGGGGCAGTAGTTGGCAAACTCATTAGTCAACAGAGCCAAATAGCAACAGTACAACCATTGAAATTTCTTTTGAGAGCCAAATTTTTAAAATTTCTTCTAACGCCACTTCTTCAAAATAGACTCGCCCAGGCTGTGGTATTTTGTGGAAGAGCCACACTCAAGGGGCCAAAGAGCCACATGTGGCTTGCGAGCCGCAATTTGCCGACACCATGAGGTTAGGGAGTCTCAGGACCTGGGCATTTAAGTCCCAGATCTCCCCCTGGCCTGCTCCCTTCCCTGTCCCAACTAATTCCTTCTCAGTCCTTGAAGGACCCAGAAGATCCCTGCCCCACCTCCCCCCGGTAATGGGGCAGCGGAGCCTCAGGCATGTGTGAGGAGGTTAGGTCCAGGGATTCAGGGACTCACACAGCCCCAAGAAGAGGAAGAGCCATTGTAGGACCGCAAACACCTGGAGACTCCGGCAGAAGCGGCTGGAAGAGGCCGGCATTCCGTAGAGGGGAGTCGCACAGGGTCACCCGGAACTCTTAAGCACGCCACTTTTGGGCCCAACCCATTTGCCCTGACCCCTGACCCCACATGCTGACGTGGACAGTAGGCTCTGATGAACTCAGGCAAGGAAGGGTTAACCACTACTGGAGCTTCCGGAGCTCATGGAAGCAAGCACGGGAGGGGGGGGGGGGTTGTTTGGACTTTGTTTGTCAGGACCTCCCACCTCTGTGAAGAGCTAACAGAGGCCTGGGAAAGTGGGGGGTTTGCCAGAGCAGTGTGTGCCACCCACATGAGGGAGAACAGCCTGGAAACCTTTAGGCAGCCTAGGACTCTGTGCAGAGACGCTTTGTGGGGAAAGCTAAGGACTGAGCAGTGGGCACCCCTCCAAGTAAGTTGGGGCCAGTCCACTGTCACTATGACCCTACCCAACCACGTGACCAGAGGCCTTGTGAGAGCTGGCACCTTCTCCAGGTCAGGGGATGTCACTTCTTTTATTTATTTATTTTTTTTTATCCTAGGTGTGCTAATGCCAACATCACTACTATATCTGAGTCTGGTTATGTTGCTTGTTCTGTATCTTCAAACTATGCTTTTTGCCTTTTAGTATATCTTGTAATTTTTTTTGTTGAAAGCCAGGCATGATATACTAGATAAAAGGAACTATAGAGTAAGTGGACCTTTGGTGGCGTGGTGGTAAGGTGTGGGTAAGGGGGAGCGTCTACAGTCCTGTGACCAAGGCCTCAGTCTGTCAGTGAGCCTGTGTGCCTGACCTGTGAATGCCAGACATGCTTCTCCGTCTCCTCCAGGTGCCGCAGGGCAACTAGAGGGGGTTACGGTACATTTCTCTCTCTCCAGGTTTGGTAAGGTCTGATAAAACTCCAATATGTTAGGCTCTGGTAAAGTAGCTTCTCTTGAGGTCAGGCCTTGTAGACAGAATGCACTGGCACAGAGAATGTCACTTTAGGAAAGTCTGACACCCATCCCATCAAGTGCCTCTGTCACATGCTTTCCTAGCACAGAATAGTTTCCCTCCATTATGGTAATTTTCAGATTAAGGTCTCCCCTGCACTGTAAGCAACAAGAGGCAGCCCTGGGAGGTGCTTTGTAAATGGATGGACCCCCTGTAGGAGACAGCTACCAATGCTCAGGTTGGCACACCCTTTCTGTCCCATTCTTGTGCGGCTTCCACATCCAGGGACCTCACCAGGAGGCATTTTCTGCTGTCCCCGCTCAGTACACTTCCACCACCAGGGTGAGAGAACTTAAAAGTCCAGCCAGAGAAACGATCAGTCGTCGTGGAGAGGTGATCCGCCCCCTCAGGTGACCTGCCCCGCCCCCAGGAAGGCAGGCTTCATAGGGCAGAGTCAGGGCAGGAGGCAGGAATTAAGTGGACAGCAAATGAGGTGTAGGAGGCGGGAATTTCCTGGGACAGGTGAACAGGCTTGTTTGGTTTTTAAAAGGCTTCTTCTGCAAGAGAACAATTGGAGATAAATTCAGGGAAGATAGGCTGATGCAAGGCTGGCAAAGACCAAGCTGAAGGGGCGTGGCTGGCTGGCCTTCGGGTCCTTGGCTTGATGGCCCCCTAGAGGCTGAGAGCAAGACCTGCTCTCAGGAGGTCTCTTTTCCAAGGAGACCTATTCCTATTCCAGGAGGCTTTCCTTGGAATGACGCACCAGGCCTTTCCCTTTCCTGATTACCCTCTCTCTCCTCTCCCCCCACCACTAAAAGCTTAGGTCCCAGCAGCAGCAGGAAGGCCCTTGTCTGCCTTCCCTCATAGGACACATGCCTCCAGGGAGTCTTCCTTCTCTGAGCACCATCCGCGGAGCCCAGCTCAGGGATATGCCACCCGCCTTTCATGTAAAGATGCCATCAAGTGATGATCGATGCTCTCAGGGTGGCTTTCGACAGACCCTGACGGTGAAGTCCTTTTGGTTTGGCCCTTCTCTGGCACTTCCCAAGCTCAGGCAATAACGGGCAGCGAGAACTGGGATCCAGGGAGGCTTCCAGGTTCCCACACATTCTGCTTCTGCCTTTTCCTCTTCTCTGTTCTCTTTCTTTGGAGTAACTCTAGTCTCTCTCCACTCTGGGTGGCAGGAGGGGTGCAAGGTCAATAGGTAGATGAATGGTAATAAATGGACTCGAAAGTTACAAATCCTCCTTTATTGGGAGTGAGGCTAAGAAACAATAAGTTATCACATGGGGAACCCCCAGAAGCTCTCTCCCATGAACTCTTGGGGGCTGAGGGGCTGGACTTGGGGCTCCAGGAGCTTCTTGAGAGGGCTGTGCGTTGGGGGTTGGGGAGCGAGGTGAGACATCCAGTCCCAGGCTCACCGAACATACACTCAGAAGACGAAGAGCCAGACAGACCCCCTCTGAGGAGTGAGGATAAGAAGGCACAACGGCAGGAGAGGCACAGTGGCACAGTGGTTGAGTGTCAGGGGTCGACAAAGGACACCATGATGTAGCGAGTGCCCCTCGTGGTAGGCAGCCCCTCATGGTAGTGGGTGAGACGGCCAGGGTGCAGAAGCCCCCAGCCCTTCCGTGGGGCTGAGATCACGCAGTCGTAGCGTAAGAAGCGGCAGCCGCCTCCCTGGGAAGGGGACACAAGGGGAGAGTGAATAGACATGGTGGCAGACAGATACAAGGGGGCAGACAGATACAAAGACACAAGAGGCAGACTAAAGATACAAGGGAGGGGGCATTTAGGGGGTTTGGGGTGTCAGCAGATGGGGAGACATGGGAAGAAGGGGGCAGGAGCCAGCCTTGAAGTGACCCAGGAGAGGATAGCAAAATAACTGGGAAATGTGCAGGGGGCAGGCTGTGGGCAGGGAAGGCACCTGAGGGCTGTGTGCAGGGGAGTAAGGAAGTGGACACAGGCTTCCAGTAGGAGTGTGCATGTGTGTGTGTGTGTGTGTGTGTGTGTGTGCGCACATGCAGAGGCCGTGGTGGTGCCCGGAAGTGGGAAGACGCTAGGGGCTCACCTCATAATCCAGGTCCTTGTGGTTGAGAGCGACGTTGAGAGTAAAGGTGGACGAATCATGATGTGGCCGCAGAGAAGGCTGTTCATCCGGCCGGTAGCGGACCACGAAGTTCATCACCGCCCGGGTCTGTGGGGACACGAGGAGAGAGGCGGGGAGATGACCCTCAGGTCTTGGGGCTCTCCTGATGAAGTGACAGCTCCTGACCAAGGAGTGGGAGTGGCTGCAGGGGTCTGGGACTGGGTGTGGGGAGGTTGAGGGAGCAGGCAGGAGCAGCGCCCACCTTGGTGTGGTAGCCTGGGAACAGGCTCTCGGTCATGGGCCCCACGTACGTCCTCAGCAGCTGCAGCCACTGGTCTTCGTAGCCCACCTGCTTCATGTGGATGTCCACGGTGGGCACGTTCTCATAGCCCCCAGCCAGTCTTGAGTCCTGTGGACGGCGGGCACTGAGCCCCTGGCAGAGCAGTGCCAGCCTCCCCTCTGCTCTTGCTCCCAGGTCTGAAAGCCCGTGTTCCCTCGTCTGGAACAGCCTCATCCGCTTCTTAGCTTGACTCACACTTACTGTCTCTTTAAGTCTGAGCTAAGATGGCACCTCTTCTGTGAAGCCCCTTAGTCCCACAAGTCTGGGCCAAGGGCCCCTCCTGGGGCTCTCACATGCCATTCTGATAGCACAGGTGAGAAGGCAGAATTTGGCCTGCACAACTCAACAGGGCACCTCAGGGGCTGGCACTGAGGACCTGCCCAGTAAGGATTTCTTGAATGGATACATGAATGAATAAATAAATGAGGCTGTGACCCTTGTGGGCCCATCCCCTTCGGGACCACTCTCTGTTCCTGCTCTCCTGATTCTATTTTCCCTCCGTCGGACCCAACAACTCCCTCCTCCTGGAAGGAGCCCTCCTTTCTCCCCTCCCCCGCCCCTCTCACCTCATGCCGGCCTCCTGACCACTGACCGTAGTGCTCCATTTCCTCCACCAGCTCATCACACATCTGGTCTGAGAGCAGAGGGAACCAGTACACATCTGGGCAGGGCTAAGGACAGGGCAGGGGAAGAACAACTTGTTCAGTCACGGGGTTGGATGACACGAGGAGTGGGAGGCAGGCAGCCAATGAAAGAGAGGAAAAGCAGGAAGTTTAGAAAGGGAAGCCAGGCTGAAACGGGTTTGGCTCAGTGGATAGAGTGTCGGCCTGCAGACTGAAAGGTCCCGGGTTTGATTCCGGTCAAGGGCATGTACCTTGGTTGTGGGCACATCCCCAGTTGGGGCTGTGCAAGAGGCAGCTGATCGATGATTCTCATCGATGTTTCTAACTCTCTATCCCTTTCTCTTCCTCTCTGTAAAAACTCAATAAAATATATTTAAAAAAAAAGAAAGAAAGAAAGAAAGAAAGGGAAGCCAGGAGATGAGAGAAGCTAGGAGAATGGGGATCTGAGTGAGGGGATGGGCCGCGGTAAAGGCTCAGCCAGGAGAGGCTGGGCCAGAGGCAATGGGAGCAGCACGGAGAACACAGCACAAACGGCAGGAGAGTCCTTGAGGCCCAGATCCTGGGCCAGCGCTTCTCAAACTTCTCTACGAAAATGTCATTTTGTAGACAAGAGAGGCTCACTGAGTGATGCTGGGGAGGGGAGCAGCTGAACGCCTATCGGATCAGCCTTTCCTTCATCTTGCCCGGGGAACAAAACCCTCGGGCACCTGAGGGAAGTCAGTCTGGAAACCGCCAATCCGGAGGGCGGGCCCCGGGATGACAGCCATCAGGCAGCAGGGGGTCCGGAGGGAGGCTCACCTGCTCCACGAGTCCCTCCCCTGCCAGAGCCCGGCTGTAGTTCTCGTGGATATACTGCTCCTTCCAGTCCTGGGGGGGCAGGGGAGGACACCTTGACGTGTGTCCTCTTTACTTCGTCTGGTCCCACCCAGGAAGCCCTCCCCGGGCAGCAGCAGGTCCTGCCAGGGTGTCATGCCCATGTGCATCCTCCTACAGTGAAGGCCATTCACACTCTTTGAGCCGGGGCCCCCCCACTCACCAGGGGGTTGTCAAAGATCTGCCAGAGGTCGGGGTGCAGGTGGTCTGTGTCGTACCGGGAAGTGGCCAGGAGGCGGCCGAACTCATGTTGGTTGCTGAGATGGAGGAAGATGCCCTGGAGCGGCGAGAGGCTGTGAGAAGGAGACAGGCGGTGGCTGCCCCCCAGCACCCCGGCATCGGGTCCTGCTGCCACGCTCACCTTGTCCCTCAGGCTCTTACAGAAGGCCATGTCTGGGTCGGTGTCACTGCCGGAGAACACCGCCCTCTGAGGCAGCTCTGTCCGTAAGGTGTTCCCCCGGATCACGTACGCCTGGGAAATGTAGGGCACGTTCCACACGCCCCTGGAGGAACCGACACTAGGGTCAGCTAGGTGGGTAGACCCCAAAATTCTCCCCAATTCAGCCTGGGAGCCCCTTTCATCAGGGACACCCCACTCTCTGAGCTGAGAGGCCATCTCACTTCCTCTGTCAAGCACTCCTGGTCACAACCCACCAGTGACCCCCTTTACAGACAGCTTCTACCCACAGCTGCACCAGAAGATCCCTGAGACTGAGGCTTTGGGAGAGGGTGGGGCATCTGTTCGGGCCGGGCGGGAGGAGGAGCGGGGCTGCAGCCCTGGCGGGACTCACACTCGCTTCCGCTGCACCAGCTCCACGTAGTCCTCGGAGCGTGCGTAGTACTCGTCGGGGCTCAGGGCTCCCCAGAAGTTGGACCACAGCTTCCCATGGCGGGACAGCATGGGCGCGATGACCTTCCTGTGAACAGGTGGACGTGAGGGCTGGGCCAAGGCGGGCCCCGTGCCCAGGGAAGGAGCTGGGGTCCCCGGGGGACCACTTGGGGGCCCTCTGGCTGAGCCGGGCAAGCAACCTGTTTTCTTCAATGAGGATGCGCAGGACCTGCTGGTTGGTGATGACGGCATCAGCATCCAGACTGAAGTAGAATTCACACTCGGGGTCCTGCCGACACTTGTCCCTGTGACAGACCAACAGACAGAGGAGCTGAAACTGAAGCAGGTGGGGGAGGAGGGTACTGCAGAGGGGGCGAAACTCCCCCTCACTCTGGGACCTCCAGGTTGTCGAGTCTGAGAGAGAGAGGGGGGCAAGGGAGGGACAGGACATATGGCGGCCAGGAAGGCAGCACTGACGGATGGAGAAGGAAGGGTGGTGCAGTGGATGGCAGCCTCATCACCTCCTACCTCCTTTCCCCCACGGAGCCTCCCTGCCCCGGTCTCACTCACATGGCCATGTCCCTGGCCTCGCCTGGGGTCAGGGCCTCCTCTGGCCCCACCAGCTTCACAGCTGAGAAGTGGTCCTGGAGCTGGGGCCAGGAGTCGGCAATGTGGGGTTCATGGTACACCTCCTGGAGATGGGAGGAAATGGGGGAGGGAGCTGAGAGGGCAGAAAAGACGGCACTTGGGAGGCAAGGATGGGGTGGAGGGCGTCAATGGAGAGAAAAAAGGGGCGCATTTGTAATATTTCCAACAATAAGCATAGTGTAAAAAAACAGAAGAGATGGCACCTGAGGGGTGGGATAGGAAAGGTGGCGAGTGAACAGAGTGTAGGAAGCAGAGGGGAGTTCTGATCAGGGCAGGTCCCTTGGTAAAAGGCGAAAGATTTATGCGATTTGAAGAGAAACCAGAGTATAGGGCAAGTCCCTTGGAAGGGCCCACATGGAGAGACGGTCAGGGGGTCTCACGTTGTTATGTAAGAAGAGGGTGATCCTGTCGGGGGGATAGTCCAGGAGCATCAGCCTTTGCAGGAAGCGGGGCAGGAACGGGGTAGGCTGTTCCACAAACACGGCCAGAAGCACCCGGGGAGGAGGCTGGAAGATACATGACGGGACTCAGAGGAGAGCCTGGCACTCCCAAGTGCTCTGTCCTCTACAACCTGGCCAGGTTTGGGGGTTCCAGGAGCTCTGCCACCCTGCTTCAGCGTGCTCTCTCCTGCCCTACCCCTCCTCACCTGCCCCTCTGGAAGTGTCCTCCGGTCCTGGTCACAGAATCCACAGCCTCCCCCAGGAGTCCAGCCGTTAGGGACATAGTTTCCCAGGTAATTCAGCTGGAGCTGTTGGAAGAGACAGGGAGAGAGGCTAGGCAGAGGGGCCCATCACCAGAGATGAGGGAAGGCGGGTAGACAGACGGGAACAAGGAAGGGAGCAGTGGGTGCCAAGAACCTTTCCCTGTATTTCTGCTGCTGGGGCTGGGAAGGACCAACTGCTCAGAAGGGCTGGGATTAGGTCTGGGGCATGGACAGAGGTTGTGGGGCCAAGCCTGGGACAGGGGTTAGGGGTTGGGGTTGGGACTAAGATTGGGGCAGGAGCGGGGGCCAGGCCTGAGGCCAGGATCTAATGGGGCAGAGGCTGGGCTGAGGGTATGAGCCATGTAGGGCACCTTAGTAGGACCGTTCCCATGCACCACAACAGGAAGCGTGTCGTAGGCCACATTCCGTATACGCACACGATTTTGATCAAATTTTAAAACCACCTCATCTGGGGAAGAAATGCCAGCATTTAGACTTGCTTTCTCTTGTAGCTGCCATGCAGCAGGTGCTTCTAAACATGGGGGAATCCAGCTACTCTGATGCCACCCTGCGGATCTCCTTCAGTGTAACATGCAGACAACCGCAGACCCCAGTCCTCCTTTGTAGCGTTGTTTGTGTTAAAGAAATTACAGAAGCAAAGCCTTTGACCCAGGGCCTTGGCACATAGTATGTTTCATAGATGTTAGGTATGACAGCTGCTGCTTTTACCACTTTCTCAGCCATTCAGACATTTGATGAAGACAACCCCAATTCCAGCAGGAGCCTCTTCCTAACTCAGGACCCCCAGCAGCCTCTCTCACCTCCCCTTCTGATTGCCTTTCTCCTCACCTAAAGCCCCGTTGAGGTTCTGAAAGATCCGGGATTTATGGTCCAGATTAAGGCTGAATTTCTCCTGGATGGGATAAGATGGAGCAGTTAATTCAAGAAGGGGTAGGACACCGTTTCTCACTCTTTTCCCTTTACATCTTTCCGAAAGCCTCTTCACCCCTCTCTCCCATTCAGCTATGGCCTGCCATCCCATAGAGCTGCAGGAGGTCAGTCACCCCTTCTCTGTCCATCCCTACCCTCAGTCCTGGGTCCAGATAGAGTCGCGTGTAGAACAGCTGATCATCATCGTCATCCTTGTACTTCCACTGGCGGACAATTTGGTGGACAGTGGGGGCAAAGCCAATGAATCCTGTAGAGGGTAGAGGGGGGGGGGAGCTGACTCCAAGACTCCCCGGGTCCCATGAACCTGTCTCCACTCCCTCTCTGGGCTCCCGGCGCCTGGAACACTCCATACCCCATCACTCTGGGTCCCTCTGCCTCGGCACTCTGCCACTCACCACCAGAGTTGAGGAAGCGCTTCCCCGTGCCCACCTCAGGGTACTGCTCTGCCAGCCCCCACTCAGGCCAGCAGAAGCTCTCTGCAGAGAACAGCAGGCGGCTGCCACTCTGGACGAACTTCTTCAGCAGTTCGGAGGGGCTGCCAGCCAAAATCACATCATAGCTGGCAAGGAAGGGGAGGATGAACAGCACAGCCACTGGGAGCGTTAGGACCCTCACCCTCTTCTTGCTGGCCCCACCCCTTTCTCCGGACCCCTAGCCCCTTTACCTGTCCACAAACATGATGATCATATCCTCTCGGTCTGCATATTTCTCCATTTCCTTCTTGAGCCACCTAACCTTCTGTCCTCCACCGACTGTTCTGGCCACATCACCCCCTCGCCACTTCTCTCCCAGGCCCAGCGTCTGTGGGGGAGACCCGCCATGGCAGGCAGGCAGGCAGGCAGGCAGGCAGGCAGGCAGGCAGGCATTCAGCGGGCCAGGCTCACCGTGGGACCCCAGGCATCCAGTCTGGGGCACTCCTCCAGCTGGAATTTCACCACACCCCGCCCCCTTTCCCCTTCCCCCCCACCCCCCCTAGCGGCAGGAGGGCTTCCTCTCCTCACCCGCACTGTGTAGTTGAAGAACTCAGCTGACCGCAGGAAACGCCGGTATCCCTCTGTCTCAGCGGTGGCCACGGTGATCACCAGCAACTTCTCTGTTACCAGCGGGGAATGAGCACCCGGGACACTCACCCAGCTCACGGCCCCACATGCTCCACTCCTCTCAGGTCTTCTTCCCCTCCTTCAGACTCTGCTCAGGTCCCTGACCTTTTGTCTGCCCATTCCCTCTGAAATCTACCCCCAAGGAAACTTCCTCCCCAGTGAGAACATGACACCCAGGACGGGGTTGACCCGTAGTTCAGGGTCGGGAGTGAGCGGTTCTGTCCTAAAGAGCACGGGGCGAGGGAGAGCCCCGACCCCCATGCTGCCTCCCCGCCCCAGCCCGGATGGACAGGCACTGCAGCCCCGAGCTCGCTCGGCTCTCCCTGGGTTGTTCACCTGGGTTGACAGGGGATCCACTCTGAGGTCGATCAGAAGCCGAGGCCACAGGAGGCGGCGACAGCAGCAGCAGCAGGAGCAGCAGGAGCGGGAGTCCGGGGCCCCAGGAGGCCATGGCGAGGAGCTGGCCGAGACCGCGCACAGGCCCGCGCCTGGTGCCCGCTGCGCGCCCGGATCCGAACCGCGGAGCGCGGAGCTCTGGGAAGGCGACCCGGGCTGCTGCGCGGCTCCCTGCGAGGAAGCGCCGGGCTGCGGCTCCGCCCTGGAAAAAAGGCGTAGCCGGGGGTTACCGAAAGCTCCAGATGCCGGCGCCCACACAAGGCGAGGATTGTCCCGGGCGCGGCGCGCTGCGGAGCGAGCGGAGGGGTCGCTGGGCCGCGAGGCGAAAGAGGGGCGGGGGCTCGGGCCCGGGTCACCAGCTGAGGACTTTGGTCCGAGGCAGCCCAACCACGGCTCGCAGACACCGGAGAAAACTGAAACATGGAGAGGGGAAGTGACCCCTTGCGGTCCGCCGAGAGGCGGGTCTTCGCCATCGCCCTGCCCCGGCGGGCGGCGGGGCGGAAGACTGGAGAGCGAGGCTGTGGGTACGCGCGGGGCGAGGGCGGTGGAGGAGCGGGCGGAAGGCAGAGAGGGGGCCGAGGAGGCTGCAGCTCCAGAGGAGCTAGTTGTGCAAGTGTCTGTGGAGGTCATCAGGGACCTCTCGGGCCGCCCACTCAAGCCTGCTCTTAGTCTTTGGGAGTCCCTTCAGTCATCTTCACGCCCCGGGAGAAGCTCCAGTGGCTGCCTTTGTGACAATGGCATGTAAAGAAGGACCAAAGGAAAATGATGTTTCGCGAAAGACCACGGGCACCACATCTTTAAAATGTCCCATTTCAGGGTTCCCGCAAAATACAAAGCTATACTAAGGCCGGAAGTACTTTTGCCCCTATAAAATATGGCAGAAAGCGTGCTCATCTCCAAGGGAACATCACGTAATTAGTCAAGGCGTAATATTGCGCACGCGTAGAAGCGCACGTCGCCGGAAGTGATGTGCCCTTAGTGAAGCGGCTGGCGTAGTACGCGTGCGTAACTGGCTCTTCCCTCAGCTGTGTTGTGGAAATGGTGGAGAAGAAAACTTCGGGTATGTGCGCCTCCGGGGGTTTGCTTCCTTCCTTCTCTCAAATCCGAACCTGGCCTAAGATTTTTCTCACCTCATTATTAGTCTCAAATCCTTTCCCGGGTCCTCGCTCGGGTCCTGGCCTCGGGGCTGCCCCGCATCATCCACTCACGTTTTATTGATGCCTGTTCCCAGTGGGACTCTGGGGATGGAGAAAGGAAAAAAGGTCCTTATTTTCCTAGAACTGGCTTTTTGGGAGGAGGGCAGATGTGCAGACCTACCACTGTACTTTGTACGTGCTATGGCAGAGGGATGTGCAGCGCCTGGGTGCATGAAGGAGTGGCACCCAGCCCAGCTTCTGAAAGGAGGGGACTGTGAAGGACTGGAGGGAAGGGAACGCTTGAAAGCCTCGTTTCGCTCCGTGCAGGTGCGTGTGGGCTCATTCCCGGCAGCAGGAACCACACTTGCAAAGGAAAGAAAGCAAGAAAATCAAGTTGCTTAGGAAGCCAAGTTCATGGTTCAGGGTTTGCAGAGGCTTAGTAAAAGAAGCTGAAGGGCTAGGGAAAGACACCCTTGAAAGACATTATATACGCTGCCAATGAATTTTAACTCAGAGCAGTAGAGAACCATCCAAGGCATTTAAACTAGGGGAGTGACGGAAACTAATTTATCTTTTAGAAAGGCAGTTCTGGCTTCAGTGCAGAGGACGGATCGGAGGGACTAGAGCAGCACTGTCCAGTAGCATTTTGGGGGATGATGGGAATGTTTTTAGTCAGCACTGTTCATCATGGCAGCCATTAACTGCATGTGGCTGTTGAGCACTTGAAATGTGGTTAGTACAATCGAGGAACTGAATTTAAATTTTTATTTCATCTTAATCTACATCTCACTTTAATCACGTGATTAGTGGTTAGTTGATTGTATAGCACAGGTCTAGAGGCTGAAGGCCAGTGAGGAAGCTATTAAGTGGTCCAGATAAAAAGAGATGAGGGTCAGAATACCTTCAGATTGACTCGTAATAAATCCAGTCATGTCACTCCTTTAAAAAAAAAATGTTGTTTGTTGTTTGTTTTTTAGGGGGTGGAGGATGAGGGGGAATAGAGAGATAGAAACATCCATGAAAAAGAAACATCATTGATTGGTTCCTTCCTGCACGCCCCCTACTAGGCATCTGCTGGCAATCTGAGCATGTGCCTGACTGGGAATTCAACCAGCGACCTCTTGATTCATAGTTGACACTCAACTACTGAGCCACCCCAGTCGAACATCACTCCTTCTTTAAAACTCCTCACTGAATTTCTATCACCCTCACCATAGAATCCTCAAATCCAAATTTTTATAGATACTGAAAAGAAAGTTTCTTAATGGTCTGCATGACTTCATAACTTCCCTCCCCCCACACATACTTTCTATACCAGCCACAATGTTAAAAAGAGAACTTTAAAAAAAAAAAAAAAAAATATATATATATATATATATATATATATATATATATTTTATTGATTTTTTACAGAGAGAGAAAGAGAGGGATAGAGAGTTAGAAACATCGATGAGAGAGAATCATTCATCAGCTGCCTCTTGCACACCCCCTACTGGGGATGTGCCTGCAACCGGAATCGAATCCGGGACCTTTCAGTCCACAGGCTGAAGCTCTAGCCACTGAGCCAAACCGGTTTTGGCAAAAAAAGAAAAAAAAGAGAACTTTTAATTTATTGAAGGCACCACAGTCTGCTATCTAAGCCTTCTCTCATGCTGGTTCCAAGGTCTGAGACACCCTCCCTTCTCTCCCAACCAAGTTAAATTCTATTCATCGATCAGTCCTCAGCTTGTGCGTATTTCCTCTGGAAAATCTTCCTGAATACTTCAAGGCCAGGCTCTGTCATTCGCTCTGTAGCACTTTGTACTTTCCTGTAATAGCACGTACTATACTTTACCATTCTTGTTTGATCATTTGTATTCCCTGCTAGACTATAGGCCCTGGTTGTATTCCAAGAGCTTAGAGCATAACCTGGCACCTGGAAGGGAGGCAGACTAGTGCAGTGATCAAGAGCATGTTTTCTGATGCTGGGCAGTTTGGCATTTGAATTCTGACCCAGCCACTTTCTAGCTATGCAAAGTTCAGTAAGATGGGGATGATAATGATACCTTTTCCATAGGATTATTGTAAGGGTTAAAGGATTCCTTTTCTATAGAGCTTAATATAGTGTGTGGCTCATTGTTCATGCCCAGTTATTATTATGGTTATAGACTCGGTAAATATTTGTTTAATGAATAAATAAATATTTTGTGGTGAACAGCTGATATGATAATGAAGAGAGAGCTTTAAAATAATCCTAGATTTTTGGTTTGGATGTCTATGTAGATGGTTTCATTCACTTAAAGTCTACAGGAGGAGAAGCAGACATAGGTGGGGAGATTTTTGAATTTGAGTTGCATTATCAATGGAGTCAGCAGGTAATCTCCTGCAGCCAGTCAAATAGTCAGTTTTGGAGTTTATGAGAAGGTTTTGGATTGAGAAAATTACCTTTGGAGCCATTTGGTTATAGGTGAGAGAGCTTTGTGTTTGGATTAAAAATCTCAGGAAGAGTTTATAAACTGAGAAAGATAACAGGGACAAACATCTCTTTAGAGGCAGAGAGAGAAGGCAAGGTTGGAAACAGAAGCATAGCCAGATATGGAAGGAAAACCTGGAGTCATGTTAAAGAAGCCTCTGAAGGGACTCTTTCAATGCAATTCTCAGAGTGTAGAGAACTCAGGTAAAATGCACTCTGGGCTTGGCCCGAGGAGGTCACCAGAGTCCCGAGAATGCGTGATTTTCACAAAACTCCAGCCGGTTGCTGGGGTTGAGGGCTGGATGGGAGATGAAGAAATGGAATATCACATGGACCACTCTGTCAAAGAAAAGTAGCTGTGGCCGAGACTGGTTTGGCTTAGTGGCTAGAGCATCGGTCTGCGGACTGAAGGGCCCCAGGTTCGATTCCGGTCAGGGGCATGTACATTGGTTGTGGGAACATCCCCGGTGGGGGGGGGGGGTGCAGGAGGCAGCTGGTCGATGATTCTCTTTCATTGGTGTTTCTGACTCTCTATCCCTCTTCCTTCCTCTCTGTAAAAAAATCAATAAAATACACTTTTTTAAAAAGTAGCTGTGAAGTTGGATAGACATGAGAGAGTTTAGTAGGTTTTTCCATGAAAGGAAAGTACCAGTTGAGGAGGAGAGGTTGAAGATACAAGAGGGAGGGAAAGACTCAGCTGCAGGTGAAGAACTGGGTTTAGCAGTGAGGCTTGCTGGGGGCGCCCAAGCAATTATGACTGAGGGTGGGCTAAAAGATGAGTGTCTCTGCGTATTAGTGGTCCATTTCCTTTGAGGTAGGAAATGAAATCGCATGAAGGCCAAGTGCATGAAGGTACCAATGGAGCCTGGGAGCCCTGAATTTATAGTGGTGTTGTTAATACAGTTGTGTGATTTCTGTCAGCATTTCTCTGATTGGATCCTCTGGGATTGGGAGGAAAGCTGCAGCCAAAGACATAGAAAACAGGCATGAATGACTGAAATGGCAAACTTAACTAGCTGGGAAGGAAGCAAATCAGAGGGGCTGATATACATCCCCCATTAGCCACAGGGGGGTGTTCCAAGACCACCAATGGAGCCTGGAATTTTGGACAGTATTGAATCCTATACATATGTTTTTTCCTACACGTATATATATTTTAAGGCTTCTCTTTGGCATGTGCTTGACATCACTACACTTGTGTTTTTGGGCCAAAATAAGGGTTGCTTAAACACAGGTATTTTGATACCACAACAATTGATCTGATAACTGACATGGCTACTTAGTGGTTAACGGGCAGGTAGTGTATACAGCCTGAATATTTGGAAAAGAGATGATTCACAGAAAGGAGTGGTTGGCATGAGATTTCATCACAAGCTCCTGTTTTTGGTGGTTCTGGATGCTGTAACTCTTATGTGGTACTAGAGCTAGAACAGTGTGCAATTTAAAACTTATGAATCGTTTATTTCAGTTTAACATTTTCAGATCACAGGTAACTAAGACTGCAGAAAATGAAATCTCAGATAAGGGGGAACTACTGTATTGGTAGGAGATATAGGGGCCGAGGTCTCAGTGACTAGGATCTGGGACTCCACAGCCCATGGATATCATCCACACACTGCCCAGAGCCTGGGTTATCCAAGCTTCTCTCTTCTCTGTGTTCCCCACCCCTCATAACTCTTCTGGTTTTGTCCCATGTAGTTCGCTCCCAGGACCCTGGACAGCGGCGGGTGCTGGACAGGGCTGCTCGGCAGCGGCGTATCAACAGGCAGCTTGAGGCCTTGGAGAATGACAACTTCCAGGATGACCCCCACGCAGGACTCCCCCAGCTTGGCAAGAGACTGCCTCAATTTGACGATGATGCAGACACTGGTGAGGCGGGTGGGACTGGGGACACATGGCTGAAGGAAGGGGAAAGAGTCTGCCTAGATTAGGGTTGTGGAAATACATTGGGCTGGGGGTCAGATGACCCAGGAGCTTCTCTGGCTCTGCCAGGAATTGGCTCCTGTGACTTTGACCAAGTCCCTCTCCCCATTCTGTGCCTTAGTTTCCTCTTGTGTATTTAGAATAAAAACAATAGAGTAGGTGAGCTCTGTATTCCCTTCCAGTTCCAATACAAAGTCTTAGATTTAGGGAGTGTAGAAATGAAGAACGGCTGGGATTGGAGAAGTTGGGGGAAGGGAAAAAGATGGTAGACAGAGGCCTTCTGAGAGTCCAGGGGGTATGTGAGTGGGGAATGGACACGGAGGCACTGGGAACAAGGGGGCAGGGAAAGGTGGTGCATTTCTTGGAACGTGCCAAGTAACTTATTTCTTCTGACCAATAGGAAAGAAAAAGAAGAAAACTCGAGGCGATCATTTTAAACTTCGCTTCCGGAAAAACTTTCAGGCCTTACTAGAGGAGCAGGTGAGAGAGGAGCTGGCGGGGAGGAACCCACAGAGAAGGGCCGAGCCCACAGAGATGCTTGTCCATGGAGGGTGTTTGCTGTGAGGGTGGAGGAGTTGTGTAGTCTCCCCCTTTGTATCTGCAGAACCTGAGTGTGGCCGAGGGACCCAACTACCTGACAGCTTGTGCGGGACCCCCATCCCGGCCCCAGCGCCCCTTCTGCGCTGTATGCGGCTTCCCCTCTCCATACACCTGCGTCAGCTGTGGCGCCCGGTACTGCACTGTGCGCTGTCTGGGCACCCACCAGGAAACCAGGTTAGCTTAGAATATGCCCCAAATCCACACCCTTTTCCTCCTACATCCCACAGCCTCCCAGGCCCTCTCCTCATCCTGGGTTTCTCTGCCTGTAGATGCCTTAAGTGGACGGTGTGAGCCTGGGTATCCCTGGAGAGGAAGGCCCTCTGTGCATCAACCTGTCCTCAGAAAGGACATCACAAGAATGAAAGGTGCTCCCCTGGACCAAGAGAGGAACTATTCATTCACCCAACAAACCTTGTGTCTTATCCTCCAGAGACCAGGCTTTCTCCCAGGGATGTGGCAGGAAAGTGGGCCACGCCCCAGGGTACTGTCATAATAAAAGGTCTTATGAGAGGAGGTACCTGCCTTTTGGTCACATGGTGTTTCGGGGGTGAGGGTGATGGGTCATCTGTTTCTCCTACTCTGTCTTTTTTTCTACCTGTCAATCACTGCTCCTACTCTCTGCCCCACTAGGTCCCTGACCATGAAAGATTTTGTCCCATTCTCCATGTTTCTGCATTTCTTGGCTGCTTCTTTATATCATATTTTTGGTTATTGATTTAGTTAAATTGTTTTTGCTTTTTGTTTTTCTTGTTCTTCTGAATGATTTAAAAAATATATATATTTTATTGAGTTTTTATAGAGAGAAGAGAGAGGGATAGAAAGCTAGAAACATCGATGAGCCGGACCGGTTTGGCTCAGTGGATAAAGCGTCGGCCTGCGGGCTGAAAGGTCCTGGGTTCGATTCCGGGCAAGGGCATGTACCTTGGTTGCGGGCACATCCCCAGTAGGGGGTGTGCAAGAGGCAGCTGATGGATGATTCTCTCTCATCGATGTTTCTAACTCTCTATCTCTCTCCCTTCCTCTCTGTAAAAAAATCAATAAAATAACTTATTAAAAAGTATTTGTTGAATGTATGACCTCAATAGATTAATGATATCCAGCAAAGTCAGGTGAAACATCTTTTTAGGCACGTCTCCCCATTTCGGTGGACTTTCTTGGAGCCGGCTCAGATGTTCCTGGTGTCTTCCTGAGGAGCTGCTTGCCCTTTCTCTGGAGACCTGCAGTTTGGGCAAGTGGTGTTGGTGACAGCTTTGTGTTGAATGGTGGTGAAAACAGGGTTTACAGTCCTAAATGTGGTGTTTTTACGTAATTGATGGCTGTAAATTTTTGACTATTCCATTGAAGGTGGATTGTTTTTGTCCCCTTCCTCTGGGATCTGGGTAGGCTTATGATTCCTTCACCTAGGAGAGAGCGGCAGAAGTGAAACTATGTGATGTGCTAGACTAGGTGTAAAGGGCAGTGCACCTTCTGCCTTGTTCTTAGGACACTTGTTTTTTTTTTTGTTTTTTTGTTTTTTTTTAATTTATTGAGGTGACATTGGTTAATAGGATCATATAGATTTTGACATTTGCTTTTGGAACCTTCAGTCACCATGTAAGAAATCCAACTGTTCTGAAGCCACCATGCTGTGAGGAAGCCCAGGCTACAGGAAGAGGCACGTGCAGGTGCTCCCAGTGACAGGTCCAGCTGACAGACCTTCAAGCCACCCCAGCCCAAGCTTCCATCTTAGGAGGGAAGATGCTTTCTGATTACTTCAGCCAAGGCACCACGGCAGCCTCAGCCATTTGACTCTTCCTAGCTTTGTCCTAAACATCATGGAACAAGCTCTAGCCATCTCTGCTGCACCCTGTGTAAATTCCTGACCTCAGAATCCGTGTGTGTAACAAGTTTATGCCATTGAGTCTTGGGATGGTTTGTTCCACCTGCCTTGGAATGCCTGTCAGATTTCCACTGAGTCAGCACAATCTCTTTGGTTTATTTCCTAAGTTCGCTGACCTTATTTCATATTTTGTTGTTCTAAAAACAATCAAACTGGTTCTTGGTTGGTGTGAGATTTGTCTGCTCGCTGACACACTCAGCCTAACCCAACTGACCTTGATAGAATAGAACCAGATCCCAAGGTCCTCCCTTGGATTGTTCTACAAGTCATCCACTGACATTCTCAAGGGTCTCCAGACCCCCGTTTAAAACCATAACTCCTCAAAAAAAGACTTGACCAACTTTTGCCAGCATCCTGTGTATTAGTGGAAACTTAGTCCCCACCTTAGGCACCCAGACCTTTGGGAAATCCACACTATGCCAAAAGCTTCTGGTGGCTAAAGCCAGGGTTTGATGGGGCCCCACAGCCCCTGCCTGGGCACACAGGAGCAGAAGAGGTTAATGCTATGATCTGGAAGGCTAGAGGCTTGGGGGGCTCAGAGTTAAAGACTTCAGTGAGTACTGACTCTGATTGATGTGGATTAGTTTGGAGAGCCAGGAATCCTGGGAAACAGGTGTGTCTTCAGTCTTGGACAAATCTTGGTCCTACTACTTAACTGATTGTGTGGCTTGAATAGGTCACTTTACCTTTCTGACTGCATAGCCACCTCCCAGATAGTGTGAGGATTGAGGCAGTGCACTAGCCCAGCATCTGGAATCTAGAACGTAGTCAGAAAACGATAGTTATTGACCTTATTGCCCAAGACCTAAAACAGTTTGTTGTGGAGCATTTTCATAGCCAGTTCCTTAGAAAATGGAAGATTCTTTGGAGTAATCTTGACATCTTGTCCATTATATGGTAACTAGCTGTTTACATTTCTCTTTGCTCCTATCTTGTGCATTCTTCTAAGGGCAGAGGTCATGTCTTAGTGCTCCAACTTCTAGGAAAGAAGAACATGATAGCCCTTTACAGCCGTGTGACCAGGACTAATTGGCAAATGAAAACCTTACCTGGTGATCATGTTAAGGCACTTATTTAAATGCTCAAATGTGAGACCTAGCTAAGGCTAGTTTTCCTGTAACTGGGAGGAGGGAGGAGGCAGGATGGAGTATGGGAAAAGAGGTAGAAGCTGTGCAGGATGGTAGAGCGAGGATTTGGGTTGGAGGTGCTTGGTGGCAGCATTGGGAGTTGCAGTTGGCTTCTGTCCTTCACTGTGGGTATACAGGCATCCCTGTGGATTTTCATGGCCTTTCAGAATTGTAAGACCCTTTTAAAAATTGTGTATCTCATCCAGAGAGAGAAACTATAGTTAGTTTGCTAACAAAGCAAGTCAGGTGAACTGGTACTTGCCATGGTAGAACGTTACAGTAAAGGACCTTCAAAACACACTTCCCAGTGTCTGCACTTTGCAGTCCCTTACGGGCTTTGGACTTAGCCAGGGGACTGTCCAAAAGCAGAGTCTGACGTGGGTAAGATATACAGGTTTATTTTGGATTCAAAAAGCACCAGTGTTTCTGGATGAAGCCCAGTGGGAAGCCTTGATGCAAATATGTGTCCAAGGCCAGTGGAACAGTCCAGCTCGCTGGAAGTGCATAATTGTACAGAGGGATAAGAGGTGGGGATAGCCCTAACTGGTTTGGCTCAGTAGATAGAGTGTCAGCCTGCAGACTGAAAGGTTCCAGGCTCGATTCCAGTCAAGGGCATGTGCCTTGGTTGTGGACACATCCCTGGTGGGAGGTGTGCAGGAGGCAGCTGATCGATGTTTCTCTCTCATTGATGTTTCTAACTCTCTATCCCTCTCCCTTCCTCTCTGTAAAAAATCAATAAAATATATTTATACAGGAAGTGGGGATAAAAAAGATAGGCTAGAGCCAGGCAGTGTGTCCAAGTCTTAATTGTCCTTTTTCATTTTTCTGAGCCATCAGGGAACTTGCAGGGCAGGACAATAAATGATGTTCCAGGCCTGGCTGGTGTGGTTCAGTGGTTGAGCATCGACCAATGCACCAGAAGTTCACTGGTTTTATTCCTGGTCAGGTTGTGAGTGAGATTCCCCGCAGGAGGCAGCCAATCAATGATTCTCTCTCATCGATGTTTCTATATCACTCTCCCTTTCTCTCTCTAAAAATAAAAAAACAAAACAAAACAAAAAAAACTAAATTAGGGAAACCCTATGACCAGTCAGGGCAAGGGAGAATGAGGGCCTGACAGGACCAGGCAATGAAAGGAGAGAAGTAGGTGGATATATAGACACTGGAAGGAAAACTGATGGGATTTGGCAGCTAACTGAGGGGAGGGGAAGTGAAGGGAGAAGCCAGAGATGATTGAGGTTGTCAATCTGTGACTGAGAAGCTGACGATAATAGGAATGAAAGGAACTGTGGTGCATGAATTTCTGAAGCTCTGGAGAGCCGGCTGTTAGAATATAGATGTGAGCATTTCTATATCTTAGGAGAGAGCACAGGTGAGCAGATGGGATGAAAAGGAAACGGGAAAAAGCTGAGACCAGGCCACCTCCCCAGTGACTAGTGTCACTATAAGGGAAGGTGTCAGGTTAAGGCCCTATCATCTTTCACTAAGTGCCCGGCTTTCTCATCGCCTCATTTTCCAGTCTTATGTGGGTACCAAGGCTGTTCAGTATTCTGTGCCATGACCCAGTGCTGTCTGAACCAGACACCAAGGAGTCATACACATGCCACTGAAATGCAAGACTGAACAGATGCTCAGAGCCTTTTCTGGAAGTTATTGAACATTCTCAGAAAGATGTACCTGCACCAGACCTTTGATTTGACACAATTTTAAAGGGCTGGACAGTTTCTGATATACACTCTCAGGCCCGGGTAAAGAAACTGCTCTAGAGCATCTGTATCCTGTACAGCTGTGAAGAAAGGTTGAGAGTAAACGAGTGACTTGTTATCTCAGGCGGACCAGTTTCCTAGAGCTGGGTCTTCCCAATCTGCTCCCTAATGACTCTGATCAGTAATTATAAGAGTGCCACACTCTTGCCCTGGCTGGTGTGGCAAGTGGTTAGAGCGTCGGCCTATGCACTGAAGGGTCTCTGGTTGGATTCCTGTTAAGGGCCTGCACCTGAGTTGCAGACTTGAATCCCAACCCCAGTCAGTGTGCATGCGGAGACAACCAATTGATGTGTCTCTCTCACATCGATGTTTCTTCCCCTCTCTCTTGCACTCTCTTGAAATAGAAAAAAAAAAAAATCAATGGAAAAAATATCCTTGAGTGAGGATTAACCAATTAACCAAAAAAACAGAAGAGTGCCACACTTGAAATTACTTGCAACCCTGCCTCCATTTTGCTGGATTAGATAGACCAAAGGTGATGGAGAGGAGGACTGGTGACAGTCTGGTGTCTGAGAACTGAGATGACTCTGGGTGCTGCCCCAGACAACTTTTGCTTGGCCAGTTGCTTCATGACACCCTCAGCCCCTGAACAGTTCATAATACAAATTTATTTAAGCATGTATTTATACAGAATGCAAGTTCTCGGGGGCATCCCCGTCGGCTAATCTCTCAGACCTCCCACTCAGAGGATAGAGAGGGGTCAGGTGCAGTCTCAGGAGTCCGAAGTGAGTCCTCAGGAGGCAGCTTCTTGGCCAGAGGAGGGAAGTGTAGCCAGGACAGAGCTCCGACTAAAGAGAGGAGCCTGAGCTAGCTGTGGCTTCCAGGCCCTGGGAGTGGCTTGGCCGTGGGGAATGGCTTGCCTCTGAGGTGGTAATACCAAGCAGGGGCCTGTGCCTGCTGTCCGGGGCTCCAGAGACCCCTTCCCACTGTGGGCAGTGACTAGGGTCCACAGGCCAGGCCTCCTACACGTAAGCGTTTTTCCCATATTTGCCGAAGCTGATGTCATCGTCATACGAGGATGCTGTGGGGCGCGCGTGGGCAGCAGGGCCAGCGGACTTCACTGTGGAGGCCTTGTAGGGCAGCCGGTTGCTGGCAAGGGAGGGGCCGGGTCAGAAGGAGGTGCAACCCTCGCTGTTCCCCCCTACAACCACCTGAGCAGCTCACTCTCCCTTACCTGGTGGCGCGGTCCTCTTCGGGAGGACAGCAGCAGTTGGAGCAGAGGCAGACTCCGCCCAGGATGGCCAGCAGGGAGGCGCTCCAGCCCAGGTAGAGCGCGGGGCCCAGCTCGTACCTGAGGACAAAACAACGCAGGGCAGTGCTAGCTCAGGGACAGGCCCGCGTTCCACCCCCAAGGGTGGGGCTCCCACACTCACTTGGTTCCTGGATACAAGGGGTCAAAGAAGTCCCGGGTGATGTTGGAGGCGTACCAGGTGATGGCCACCATCCCACAGCAACCTAGGGCGGGGAGAGAACTGCATGGAGCCCTAGGCCCCTGGGGAACTAGGGGGGGAAGAGGGGAAGCAGAAGCAGCCTATAGAGTAGTCCTTGGGGTTATCAAGTCCAAGAGCACATTTCATTCCTCCCTTTCTTCCCTCTCCCCAGCTCCTGACCATTCTAGGGCCAGTTGTGAACCTCTCCATGTAGCCAGAACCCAGACCTAACCCATACTCTGCTCCTCAGCCCGCCCTTGTCCCTCTTCATCCCTGGCCAGCTTTGTTCATGCCTGTCCTCTAGCACCTTGGCCATTTAGTGTCCTCACATGGGGCTGAGCCCTGTCCTTCCTAGGAAGCCCAGCTGCTGTAAGCAGTCTTATCCAGCTAGCCCTGTCTGTCCTGACACCTGTGTCCTTTGGCCTCCCAAAGCCCTCAGTCTGTGATGTGCCTTCACCACTCAGTGAAAGCCTGAAGCCAGTGAAATCCCTGGACTACAGGGCCAGCCTTGCCACTCACTTAGGGGCTTGTCTTCCAGTAAGTTCCCCCACCTCTCTGAGCCCATTTCCACCTCTGGAGAACAGACGAGACCCTCCTTACCTCACAGGCTTATGAAGTGATGTGTGTAGGTGTGCTTTACAAACGTAAAAGGGATAGCCATCATGCGATATTGTTTCTGTGCCGTGTGTGTGTGTGTGTGTGTGTGTGTGTGTGTGTGTGTACACATACCCTGACTCTGATCTTCCCAGCCAGGCTGAAAGCTTGGGAGGGTAGACCCTTACTTTCCCCTTTGGAATCTCTCACACACTACACCTTGGGGTGCCTGACCTCAGCCTTTCCCCTTTTCCTTTTCGTCCCATTTGCTCACCTGTGCTCTCTCCTAGGATGTAGAGATGCTCACATCTACATTCTTACAGCCCGCTCTCCAGAGTTTCAGAAGTACATGCAGCCCCTGTGTTTCACAGGCGGGGCAAATTCATTCCTTTCTCCCAAAGCCACACTTCCTTTCATCCCTATTATCGTCAGCTTCTCAGTCACAGATTGACAACCTCAATCATCTCTGGCTTCTCCCTTCACTTCCCCTGCCCTCGGTTATCTGTGGGGGCTCAAGAAACATTGCTAGTGGACTGACTTGTAGCCAAGGGATTTGATGAGTGCAGGTGAAGCTGAGGTGAGCAAGGAGACAGGGAAGAGCTTAGCCTGGGAGGGCAGGTATCAATGCAAACGGGAAGGAGTGGGAGCTGGAGAAGACAGAGACCCCTGGGGTCTTGCCGAGGGCTACTCCCAACCCCCACCACAGCGCAGGGCCCACCCATCACCTTCCCTCAATTACCAGCCAGTATGTCTAGGGCCCCGGCAGTGGCCGCCAGCTTGGCTTTCCTGGAGAGCACCAAGCTCCCCACGTTTGTGCAGCGCAGTCCCACCATGCCCAGGAAGAGGCCCAGGAAGCCCAGGAGGATGGCGGTGATCATGAGTGCCCGGCAGGCCTGGATGTACCCTGGGGAGGTGGGTTACAGCATGGGTTAAGTCCTAGAGAAAGTGAGGAAAGGATGAAGCCTCTGCAACTGCTTTGGGATATTCTGGGAATATGGGGACACAAGAGCCAGCCTCCTGCCCCTCCATCTCCTTTCCCCTCAGTGACAGCCAGTCCCTTACAGCCCATGCTCAGGCCTCAGGCCCTAGAAGTCCTCAAATCCTCCTCCTCTTCCCCTTTGGGTCCATCCAATCTATAGGCTGAGGGGTCACACACCCCTCCTTCCCAGGAGTTCACCTCAGTCCCAAGGAGTCTCGGCCGCTCCTGCCCTGCCACCTGCCCCAGTGCCCTTCCCCCAAAGCTGCACCTATACCTCCTATAGGGCTTCTCTTCGGCACTACTAACGTGGCTGGATAATGCTTTGTTCTGGGGGCCATCATGCGCATTAAAGGATGTTTAGCAGCATCCTTGGCTCCACCACTAGATGTCAGTAGTCTCCTCAAGGGGGACAATGAAATTTGTAGACTGTCAAATGACCCCTGAGGGGCAAAATCGCCTAATAGAGAACCACTGTTTGCTACATCACCACCAATCTCTGCTTGCATAGTAGAAACCACACCGGGATAACCCCAGCCCCTTCCCCACACCTGCCTCTCTCCGGGTCCCACCTAGTACCTAGCACTGTGCCAGACATCCCAACCTGAGCTTCTTCTCTGAGTGATCAGTAGGGGGCAGCAGTGGCCTATGGGTCGCTGGCCCAGGGCAATTTCTAATCTGGGAGGTGGGATTCCTGGATCCAGGACCAATCCAAGTCAGTTTTGCACATGTGCTTTCAGTGCCTCAGTTTCCCCTTTCTCAAAGCTGAAGGAAATGGTTGGCTTCCTTCCTGGCTCCCCTTCCCCCTCCCTGACTTTGATAGTTGCCAAGCACTCAAGGACCTTGCACTCTTTTCCCAGGTGGGGCAGTGCCATCAGTGCTGAAGGGGAGAAAGGCTGGGTTCCTGCCAAGAGGATGTTTAGTGGCATGGAGCTGGGGGTAGGGAGGAGGGACAAAGTTCTCTGGGAGCATTTTCTCACTCCCAGCATTCCCTCTGGAGTTCCCGCCCTCTTTACCTACCCCATATCCTATTCCCTCCCATCAATCCATCTACCCACCTCCATCTGGGCAGACCAGCTCTGGTGGACGAAGGGTAGATTGTTAAAGGGCCTGTGAGAGCATGGGCCAGGATACTGGAGGCCAGGGGTGCACAGCTTGAGGGTGATTAAATGATAGGACCCCCTATTAGGACTAGAACCAGCCTTGGAAGTCAGCCAGCTCTGAAACACAAGTCAGGATTCTAACCTGTGACCTGGGGTGCGTTAATGCTTATTCCTGCAGTTTCCCCGATTCTCTAAAAATAGGTTACTAACACCCCAATAGCAGAACTATTGTAAACAGCCCTAAAATGGTGCATGTGAGGTACCCAGCACCACACCCGGAACCAAGATGCCGCTCAGCACTGGGCAGCTGCACTCTGCCCTTCCCCCGAGCCTGCTCCTACCTCTTCATCTTTCATGCGCACTCATGCTCTCCCTCAGGTCAAGAGCAGCAGTTCAAGGGCAGGCTCACAGCACAGGCCCTTCCTCACGGTGTGGCTGGGAGATATGTGAGGTGAGATGACCAGGGCTGCTGAGCTGGCTGCCTCCCGTATCCCTTCTGGCCACTCAGCATTCTGGCTTCTAGCCCAGTTCATACTAGCTTTCATAGTTGTTTTTTTTGGGGGTGGGGGAGAAAGGAGGGAGCACTTGCCTTGTTACGTCCTAGAGAAAGTGATGGAAGGATGAAGCCTCTGCAACTGCTCTGGGAGATTCTGGGAATAGTGGGGACACAAGAGACCCACCTGGACCCCCTAACTGCTCAGAGCATCTTTGACATTCTTGGGGGATTTTGTGTAGCCCTGCTCTAGTCCTTGAAGGACCTACAAGAGTGAGAAGGCTCCGGGAGAACCAGTGAGGCTGCGGGAGTGGCACCGCAGAGGGTTCCTGGTCATCCCCTCTTGGATTTTGGTGTGGGGCCAACTGAAGGGAGACTCCCGTAGGGAATAATGGAGGGCTACTCATAGGATAAGCAGGAAGCAGGAAGATGCTACAGCTACCAGGGAGAATCTCAGCCAAAAGAGCTGGAGGCTCCCGCTCACCAAGAACTGAAAAAATACGCCCCCAGGAACCCTGAACACACTGCACACCCCCTCACCTGCTGACACTGGACACTCAAGACTCTCTAAAACAGTCCTTCAGAATTCGCCACGGCATTGGTGGCTCAGTGGAAGCCTGGTGAGGCTACTGAGATGGTCTCAACCCCCAGGAATCCAAGATGGGGCCTCCTCTTCAGCCCATAAACTCCAACACTACAATGCTAAAATTGTTTGAGTACCTATACATGCTAACATCATGTTAATAATTTTCCACCTTTTATTTCATAAAGTCCCCACAACTCCTATGATCCTGATTTTACAGATAGGTCAAATAAAGCTCATTTTACCACCTGCGCAAGGCACAGAGCTACGGCACAGCTGGCGCTGGCCTGGCAGCCTAACCCTGGCGCCTGCACTTGTGACCACTGAGACAGAGCAGCACATGAGGGCAATTCTAGACAGGAGGCTACCCCAGCACCCCCTTCTGCAGGAGCCATCCTCTAAGCTTGGTCAGGCCTCGCTCATCTGTCTGGCACCCAAGCCCAGACCCAGGCAGCACCCGAACTCCCGGAGCTCTCTCCAACCTCCCGCCCCCCCCCCCGCCCCCTCCCCCTCCGCCTTGTACCGGAGAGGGCCAGCATGGACGGGAACTCCCAGCAGTTGTGGACTCCCAGGGAGTCGGTCGCGCAGCTGTACCAGAGGTTCTCGAAGACGGTGTTGGTGGTGATGACATTCCCATGCACAGTGGACACTCTCCAGTAGCCGTTTGGCAAAGTCACACCCAGCATCAGCAGCCCCGCAGCTGCCATGAAGAAACCAAAGGTCTCCACAGCCACCGACATGGTGGGACGCAGGCCCTGAGGGGCACCTGCGGCCCCAGAGGGAGAAAGGCTAGGTCCCAGGGGACTTTGAGGGGCGTTGGCTAGGGAGAGGTGTTAGGGCAGGGTGGGAAGAGAGAGTGGGGAAGGGCAGAAGACCAGCGGCAGCCTCGGCCTCAGCTCTGTCTCCAGGTGTCTGCCTTCCTTCTCTTTTTCTGGGTTTCTGCTTCCCTGCAGGTCAGCAGTTAAGAGAATGAGCCAAGAGCCCGTGGCAGATGTTGATGAGATGTAAGGAATAAACGAAACGGGCCAAAAGTCCACTGCCTCTGGCTGCCCTGGGTTCCCCGCCCCACAGGGTGTGTGTGGGGGGGGACTTACCGGGGAGTGACTAACGGATGCAGCCAAGGAGGGGCCCCCACGGGAGGCATTGGGAGCCAAGGGGAAGCGTGTCTCTGACTCAGCTTTCATCAGGGGCCAGAGAATGGAATAAGAGGGACAAGAAGAGACAGAGTATGAACACGGACAGGCACAGCAGCCTTCAATAAGGAAGGAACAGGGAGCAGAGGCACTACCTCTTGGTGCTGGTGAGAACAATTCAGGAAACTGAAAGACCTAAGGGTTGAGGCATTGAGTCTTCCAGGAAGATTAAGGTTGAAGAAGGGAACAGGGTCTGTGAGGGAAACCAATGGCTCTGGAGTCCAACCATCCTAGATTCAAACCAGATCCCTTCATTTTATTTACAGAATAAAGCTGGAGCCCCGTGAGTTCATTTCTGCTGCTGTGAACTAAAGCTCCTCCTCCTCCTCATCTCATAGGTTGTAATAAGAATTGTGACCGGATCAAAGCTTCCCACACGTATGAATTACTCTATACTTGACTGTCCTGGGCTTCGGTGCTGCAGACCCAGGGGGAAGCCATCAGGGGTTGCTTTCCCCCATTTGGTGGGTTGGTCTTGGACCCTCAGCAACAAGCTTGAACTTGCTGCCAAGCGTCCCAGAGGGGGGAGGAATCACAGGCTTAGGCGATGCCATGGCTAATCTAAGCAGCTCATTGTTATCAGAACTGTCACCAGCTCTGTTTATGATGATGGATTAGAGACCTCTGGGTTCCCACCCCAAGCTGAGCACCTGTCCTGGTGTAGCCGGTCTCATTTCCTCTTCTAAGACCACAGCAGGACAGCCCTGGTTCTCTTCTGGCAAGTGTGCTGGGGCTCAGTCTCTAAGGGGCTGTTCCTACATCACACAACACATCGCCGAACCAAAGTGTAAACTCCCATTCCCCCCCTTCCCGTGTCAGGCTCCTCTGTGCTCCCCACAGGAGCCTCCTGCCCAATCGATCCCCCAGCTGGGTTGGCTTGGCTGTGGAATGAGAGGTATGCAGTGAAGCAAGACAGGCCCAAGCTGAGCCTGGCACAAGGTGGGTGTGGGGCAAAGCAGGCTGGGTGGGGACTGGGTCTCCACCTTCCACTCAGAGGCTACAACTGGGGTGTCCTGTGTTCCTAATTTCTTTTAAAACTCCTGCCAACCTCATGCCAAATGCCTGTCTCCCCTCCCCCCTCCCTGCCCCCAAATCACCCCCTCTCCTAAGAAGGCTAGGGAGGAGGAAGGGGAGGAAGCAGGAAGACAAAGGGAGGGGAAGGGCGAGGTTTTGGAGGAAACTGAGTGGGGGGGCCCCCTGGTGTGGAAAACTCCACGTGCTAAAAGGCAGCTGAGTGGGTCAGAGGAGACAGGAGACATAAATCCAAACCTGTCCCACCTCCTGTCACTTTCTCTCAGGATCCTGGAGCGTGCGGAGGCCACGTGGCTTTTGGTAGGGTTGAGGGAGGAAGGGCGTGGGATCTGGGCAGCTCTGCAAACAAAGGAGAACCCCATACCAGCATGGAGGTAACAGAACACAGAGCAGGAAAGGAGCATGTGTTACCCCGACTTCTGGGCCCAAGGGAACCTGCCCCTTCCTCATCACAGACACAGATGTTCGCAAGTCAAAGCCCAATTTTATTTACACTCATCCTAAAGCACATGGTCTGGGGCTAGAGGACAGATCTCAGGGAGAGGAGGCTGGGGCCACAGAGGACAGTGACGGGTGCAGGAGAAGGAAGGGACACGGCGAGAATGGACGGGCCCCTCTCTGCGTGTTCTCCAGGTGCTCCCGTGTGCCCCTGGGCAGAGGCAGAGGGGCAGTCTCATTCAGGATTTGGACTTGGATACAGCAAATCCGATGAGTCCAGCCAGTCCTGCCACACCCAGGGCCATGCCTCCAACAATGGCCATGCCCACCAGTCCATCTGGGGAGAAGAAAAAGGAAATTGTCAGGAGTTGAGCCCCAGCCCACCTGGCTACTATCTTCTTCCTACCTGCTGCTCTTCACAGCTGTGCCTCTCCACCTGGGAGCTTGGGGTGAGGGACTCCAAGGGTTGAACAAAGAAGGCTTCTGAGGAGGAATTGTTGGAAGGGGGAGTAATTTAAAGAGAGATCAGCCCTAACCGGTTTGGCTCAGTGGACAGAGCATCGGCCTTCGGACTGAAAGGCCCAGGTTTGATTCCAGTCAAGGGCTGGAACCTTGGTTTCGGGCACATCCCCAGTAGGGTGTGAGCAGGAGGCAGCTGATCCATGTTTCTCTCTCATCGATGTTTCTAATTCCCTAACCCTCTCCCTTCCCCTCTGTAAAAATCAGTAAAATATATATTTTTTAAAAAAAGATCACAGGTCCCAGGCATGGGGTGGGGAGAGAGAAAGAGGACTACGCTAACAGTTAAGGAAGGACCTAGGGATGATGGGGGCCAGGGAGAGAGGAGTGGGGAGTGGAGAAATACAGAGGGGAAGGCGCTCACCTTTCTTCATGGCCTTGTCGATGAGCCGCTCCAGTTCTTTGGCCTGGTTGTTCTGGGGTTCGGTCTGCAGCAGCCCTCGCACATACTTTAGGGCCTTTTCATATTCCTACACTCGGAAAACACACATCCCCCCTCAGTGTTTCATCATTCCTGCCCATCACAGGGGCCTTCCCTTCACTTGCCCTGGGGGCTCCTCCCTCTACCTCCACCCTCACAACAGCCCCACCCAATGGAGTAGAGTCCACAAACAACCCCAACTGTGTGGGGATGATAAGCTAGGGGAGATAACAATCCAAGGCCCGGGGCTGCACCCCAATCCTGACGTCAACTTTTCCCCACACCCTCGGCACCCTGAGCCTGACTCTCACCTTCCCTCAGCATCCTGACCTGTCAATCCCCTGGCACCTCTGCTCACGGTACGGCCCCCTGCCTACTGCCCTCTTTAGAGTCTACCTTGGAGAAAAGGAGAGGGTGCTGTGGCCCATCTAAGTAGGATGGAGTGGGAAGGCTCTCTGCCTTACCTTGAGCCGGTAGTTCCCCACAGCCAGGTAGAAGACATAATCCCGCTGCTCCTCTTTGCTCCCTTTGAGCAACAGCTCTGGGGAGGAGGCAAGAGGAAAGGATGAAAACCACTTCTCTTCCTAGTGCTTGTGTGTGAGACGCTTTCTACTCTCTGAATTCCTATATGACCCTGGGGAAAGTCCTGAGCTTCTGTTTCAGCTCAAGTCACATTTGGTTTTTAGTCAGACCTATGGACAGCGTGAGCCCAGGCTGCCCAAAACCCTAGTGATCCACACTCTGGTCCCAACACAGTCAATCCTGGTTCATCCAAGGAAACTGAAAGGAAATCAAGGCACTGGAAAAGCCAAGAGGCATTTCTACTCAGTCCTGACATCCGTTGTGTTTCAACTACAGTTTCTAATTGCCCAAACAAGGGTTAAAAATAAGTGTGTACTCCCCAACCTCTTTTTAAAAATCAGCTGGAAACTCACCTTCAATTAGCCTTTTCTGAAGACCACCACCTGACTTAATTCAGTGACTTCCTAGAGGCTTATGTGTTCCATTGTACTCTTAAGCACTAGAATTTGTTGCTAAGTAGTTTTGTGGGTGTTGATAAATCTTCCCAAGTGTCTGTACTATCTCCTCAACTAGACTGGCAACCCTTAGAGAACACTTCTTCTACAGCTGTGTTCTGTTGTAGAGGAAACCTTAAAATAATCTGAATTGGCAAATCAGACAAATGTAAGGTGAGATAATTTGCATTAAGAATTTTAATAATTTACAATGGGCATTCTTTGCTAGTACACTGTTTTATTTACAACTAGAGGCCTCTTGCATTAAATTTGTGCGGGGGAGAGGGGTATCCCTCAGCCCAGCCTATACCCTCTCCAATCTGGGATCCCTTGTGGCACGTCCAAATGCCAGGATTGGGCCTAAATTGACTGTTGGACAACCCCATCATAATCCAGGACTACTGGCTCCTAACTATTCACCTGCCTGCCTGCCTGATCGCCCTTAACCACTCTGCCTGCCTGTCTGATGCCCCTAACTCCCCCTGACTGCCTGATTGTTCCTGCCTCTGTCTGCCTTCCTGATAGCCTCTAACCACCTCTGCTTGCAGGCCTGGTGGCCCTAATTGCCTTCCCCTGTAGGCCTGGTCGTCCCCAGCTGCCCTTCCCTGCAGGCCCTGGTCACCCCCAGCTGCCCTCCCCTGCAGGCCCTAGTCACCCCCAGCTGCCCTCCCCTGCAGGACATCTTGTGGTAACCATCTTGTGGCGGCCATCTGTGACAAAGTTGCACAACACCATCTAGGCTTTTATTATACAGAACTACTTGACCAAGACAGAGTGAGTTCAAAGAAATGTAAAGGTCAAATATTGTGGCCTCTGACAAATGGTGACCCATCCCAAAACAATGGGAAGTAGGAATCCAATAAAAAATGCATCATTTTGGGACTGTCTTCTGCACCTCTTCCATGCCACCCTCACAAAAAGTTCCAACAGCTGCTGCTGAATAAGAGACATGGTGGGAGGCAAAGAGCACAGGACGGAGACATAGGAGACTCTAGTCCTAATTAAGCCATTAACAGGTGTAGGATTTCAGACAAGTCACTTTCTTTATGGTTAGACTACCGATCACCAAAGTCCTGTGAAAACTGACATGGTTTGTTTGGCAAAACAATGAGGTGGTAATTAGCCCAAATAACACTGGAGGCGAGCCTAATGTGTATAGTCCTTTGTTAAGAGTGAGTTTACTGCCAAGGCCGGTTTGGCTCAGGGGATAGAGCATAGGCCTGCGAACTGAAAGGTCTCAGGTTTGATTCCAGTCAGGGGCATGTACCTTGGTTGCTGGCACATCCCCAGTTGGGGTGTGCGAGAGGCAGCTAATCGATGATTCTTTCATCAATGTTTTTAACTCTCTATCCCTCTCTCTTCCTCTCTGTGAAAAATCAATAAAATATATATTATTTAAAAAGAGCCGAAACCGGTTTAGCTCAGTGGATAGAGCATCAGCCTGCAGGCTGAAGGGTCCAGGGTTCGATTCCGGTCAAGGGCATGTACCTTGGTGCAAGAGGCAGCTGATAGATGACTCTTATTGATGTTTCTAACTCTCTATCTCTCTCCTTTCCTTTCTGTAAAAAAAAAAAAAAAAAAAAATCAATAAAATATATTTTTTTAAAAAAAGTGAGTTTACTGTAAAATAACTGTTAGGTGCCTGTAATATGGGTCCCATGCTGAAAAAGAAACCCACCACTTGGGATGGAGGGAGGGAATGAAGGGAGGGAATGACCAATGGCAGGAGAGAAGGGCAGGCCCTGATTGCAGTTGGGAAGGGGAGCAGGGGAGCCTGGCACCTCACCCTCCAGCAGTGCAATGCCTTTACGGATGTCATCGTTGTACTTGCTTCGCACCAAGCACCAGGCATACTCAAACTGTGTGCTCTTGGACACCGAGCCTGCTGCCTTCTCAGACTGAAATTTCTTTTCAAACTTCTGCCATAGGAGAGGAGGAGAGGAGTCGTTTAGAAATGAAGAAGGCAAACCACTTTTCTATCAGGACCCTGTGTCCATTTCCCAGTTACACTCCATCTTTCCCAGTCTCTGCCACATTTCCCTTACGGGTCTTCACACCTGGCTCCACAAGTTCTATCTCCGACTCTGGGACCCCAGGCTTTCAGTTTCTTGTGGGCGGTATGTCTCTGGACAGTCTCCCACCCTGCCATTCCCCCCTCCCCCCATCTCTGTTCCCTCCCCCTACTGGTACTGAGTGGAGATGCCATCTGGTGGCGGTTCCAGGCACCGCTCCCGGAGCAAGTGACCCGGAGCAAGTGGCTAAACAGTAAACATGCTGTTCAACAACAGTCAGAACTGCTCAACTGCACACACAGTCCCTGGTCAGAGACTGCTTCCCCCATCCCGTCCCACTTTGCCGAGTCCGGACTTTTTCTTATCTGCAAAACGGGAACAAGATGCTGCCTACCTCTCAGAACTCAAAGATTGAGATATCGCCTGCGATGTACTTAGCACCGTGCCAGATACGATGAGCAATATATGAAACAATGAGTAATACATGGGGGTCGCCACTGAGGGAGTACTTTAAAACAGGTTAGGACTCTGACCTCCTGTTGCACGCACCCAGAACCCATCAGTCTTTCCAAGCCAGACTCCAGGCCTTGAGTCTGAGGGGTGGTGGCATAGGAAACTACAACTCCCATTAGTCTCTGGGGCTAAATGGAACATCTCGGCAGGAGACAGGCGCTGCAAAGGCTGCCGGGAGTAGTAGTTCAGCGTGACTAGGGAAAGCTGATGATGAGAAAAGGATTTGGCCCCCATCCGATTCTTCTCAGGACCCGCCCGCCCGAACCTTTCCTCTCCCTCCCTCTGGGCCAGGCCTCACCAGCAGGTCGTCCACAGACACCAGCTCGTTTAGCACGGCCTCCATGGCCGCCGGCCCCGCAATCCTCACACCTCAGACGTTACTGTGCCACCAACTCCATGGCCCACTGGCAGGAGGGGAGAACCACTTCCGGCGTTCGGCGGAAAAGGGCCCTCCCCTACGCAGAGCCAATCGCTTCATTTAGCGACGCCAAGCCCGCCCCACGCCGACTGAGCGGAGCCCCGCCCCTTCCTCCCCGCACAGTGGGCGTGCCGATGGCGTAAGTAATTCTTTTCCCCAGAGGGGTCCCAGTCAATCCCACACCCAGCGGGCTGCTTACAATGCCACTCATGGCCTTCCTGGGTGCCCTGCCTGTGCCTTCCTCCAAATAGCACAAAGAGGAAGGTGAAGAACCGGGCATGGATCATATGATTTTAGGGACCAGTACCCTACCCATCTCACCCTGCACCCTAAGATGAGCTATAGGACCCTCCCAGAAACCTGGGACCCTGGAAGCTATGTGACTTTTCAGTGCCTGGAAGAAAAATACCAGCCCTAGCTGGTTCAGTGGATAGCGTATCGGCCTGATGACTGAACGGTCCCGGGTTTTTCAGTCAAGGGCACAAGCTTGGGTTGTGGGCTCAATCCCAGTAGGGGGCATGCAGGAGGCAGCCAATCAATTGTTCTTTCTCATTGTGATGTTTCTAACTCTCCCTCTCCTTTCCTCTGGGGGGGGGGAAGGGGATATATATATATAGAATTACCAGGGTCTCTACTACTCTTAGAATACAAGAGGGTATAAACTGGATCTGTTACCCATACACCCAGAGACTATAAGAAAAGTTGTTGCCATTACTTGCAGAAAGGTCCAATCTTTTAAATATTACTTGCATAATATTCTCCCTAAGGGAAAGGACTGCTGTGTGGGGTGAAGGGCAATGAGGAGCTTGGCAGTAAGTAGCAAAAAAGCAAAGAAAGATGAAATGCTGCTGGCTCCTCCAGCATCTGTTCTATGCAGTGACGAGACTGGTAGGTAATGACTTTCAATATTCATTTTACCTTTTTAAAGAGAAAACCACGGGCCCAAAATAGTATCACTCGGTGTAAAAGCCATATCAAAGCTAGATTTAATACCCAATTAAATTGCAATTTCAACCTCTCCCAGAAATGTAATCTTAATCAAGTCTGGAATTTTCTGGCCAAGCACAAATAAGGTTAATCTACCATGTCCCCTCTCCCTAAAATAAGTCCTTGTCTAAAAAACATCATTTTCTTCTCTTGTTAGTAGCTCCATTTCATACAACCCCTTAGAAGCATCCTTGTTGCTATATGGGATGCTGCCCCAGTGAATCATTTAATAAAGCCAATTAGATCTTCAAATTTACTCAGTTGAGCCAGGCTGGTGTGGCTCAATGGTTGATCATTGGCCTATGAACCAGGAGGTCACAGTTTGATCCAGGTCAGAGCACATGCCTGGGTTGTGGTCTCAATCCCCAGTAGGCAGCCGACTGATTGATGTTTCTATCTCTCTATCCATCTTCCTACCCTCTCTCTAAAATCAGTGAAAACATATTTTTAAAAATTCACTTGATTGAATTTTTTAAACAATCTTGACCCACAGTACTCATTAGAATGTAAGTTCTATGAAGGAAGGAACTAATTAGACAGGCATGAGTAGAATAGAAATAATAGGCCAGGTACATAAAGTTGATGGATGGAGTAG